CGGGTCTATCTACCTGGCCAGATGTTAAATTTGTGTTGGCATTAAGTTCCTATTTAAACAGCAACTTTTGTCACAGATTAGCCACCTCTTTGCTGGGACAAATTCCACTGATGTCTGGCATGGTGTCATTTCTCGTGGGAAACTTGACCATTTCCTGTGACATGTATATGGCCTGGAGGAGACCTGAAATACCCTTCTTCCTGCCTCTTTACTAGTGTGTGTCGCTCAGTTTCCAGCAGTGAAACAGACAGACCATTCTCATCTCGAGTCCTAGCTGGGTTTGCATTTTGGGGCTGGGTTCTGAGGCCCAGGACACGCAAGTGTTTGGAGCAAAGATGGTTTTGAGAGTCAGAGCTGTGCTTCTCAGAAGTGCTTCTGATAACATATTATTTAAGCTGTCTTTGGGCTCTCTGTTCTGCCTATACTGGCATCTGAGGAGGTTCCAGTGTAAGTTAGAGCTGTCTGGGGCCTTGCAGCAGCCTTCCTACCACTGCCAGTAGAACACTCCATAGCACAGTGTGTGGTGCTAAATGCTCCAGCCACTCATATCAAGCCTGCTGTCTGTGCTGTGGGAAGCCTGGGGCTATGGAGAGAGGCCTTTCACAGATGCTGCACCCTCTGAATTTTCCCCCCTAGCTTCTGTGCCCTGTTTTTACAGTTGCCATCCCCGGGCCAGGGCTCAGGCAGGACACTGGTCTCTTTCTTGTGTGCTAACAAAATTCCAGGGCGACCTGTTAATTCTATCTCGGTGGTTCTCAGCCTTTTCGGACCCTTGGGTAGACTTGAGGTGCCCCTCAGAAAATGCCAGCTCTTACTTTTCACTCTTCTTGCTTATGGAAAAATAATAGTGCAGTTTTTTGGTTGCAGAGAACTTGGAAGGCTCAGAGCTGTGGATTTCTATTTGGAATCTCTGTGTTTATCTTATGACAGTGCTAACATTGTATGGTGCCTTGCACCACCCTTGACAGTACCACCCTTTCCTTGCACCACCCTTGACAGTACCCCAAGGTGCTATAACACCCTGGTTGAGAATCACTGCTCTAACTGAATAAGTTGCAATTGGAATGATTTTATTCAACCCTGGAAAAAAATTCCGGTGCAAGGTTTGACGGAATCAACCATTCCCATTAGTTGGACCAACCATGGGAGACAAGTGACCTGCGTTTTGTCCATCTCTTTCACTAACACTAATGCAGCTCCACATCAGCAAAGGACAGACCCTTCCCCTGCCTGTAAACGTGCATCTGATGCCCCCAGGTGCTGCCAGGCTCACTATCTGTCAATGAATCGGTAATCATGTTTTTCTAGGCACCTTTGGAGAGTGTGGCTCTGAAGCAGAGGTTCAGGCCTGGATGCGATACAATGTTTTCTTGCTGCTGGAAGTTGGTACCTTCAATGCTCTGGTGGAGCTTCTGAACATGGAAATTGAGTGAGTGCCATAGAGTTGAGGGGATGGGAGGAGGATGGAAAGCTGTGCCAGTAGCAAGTTGATAACTGGATTGTGAACTGCTGTACCTGGATATCTTTCCAGCTTGTGAAAGGTACTCAGTTGTAAGCAGTTCTCTGCTGCCAACTGAGGTCCTGTGACATTGCTGGGCAGTCTCCTGTTAACTTCTGTGGGTTGGTTTGGGCCTCATGTCCAAGGACTTTGTATGACAGGCAAAAGCCTTTTCATGTTGCCCTACCAATATGCTCCAAATTTGTTGTGGAAATACCAGCTCTCACTGTCCACTAGGTCCATTTGCTCCCTAATCCTTGTCCCGTGGACAAATGTGCTGCGTTTTTGTACTGCAGAGGTCTTAGCTAGTAAAAACTGCTTGTCCTACAAACTATCAAGCAGTTGTCAAGAAAGTGGCAGCTGGGCTTGTTTCAGCTGGTGACTTGCAGTAGAAAATCTATCGTATTTCCAGTCTCTTGAGACAAGCTTCCTGGCCATTGCAAAGCAGCTGGTCTCTTTTAATAACAAAGGGCATACTTGAGAAGTCATCTCCTGTGTTCTCACTTGATCACTCCCCTGCTGTGGGTAGAAGGATAGGAGATGTGCGTGGAGCCAGACAGTTTTGGAGAATGTGATTCCTATTGGGAGTCCATCTGTGTAATGTGAGAGCGAGGCTGTCACCTCTCACTATCTGTCATGAGCAGATGCTTGGCTCGCTGTTAATGGGAACGCAGGGTGAAAAATACATTGAGGAGAGGGCGCTTTATTTTTGGTGTCTCTCTTCATAGTGGAGAGCTTAACACTTGAGTGAAGGGTGGCATGACTATAGATCTGAGAGCCAGTAACTCTTAAATGGTAATCACAGCTCTGACATCCTTGAAAGCTTGGGCAAGTCACTGAGTTTTTTTTCTATCTGAGAAATGGGTTGAAGTACTGAGGTGATGGGGAAGGATCAGTGAGATGTTTGAGAAATCATCAGTTTCCCTGAGGAGAATGGAACTCCATCTAGATACCCCTAGTTTTGGCAAGCATGAAGGGTTCTGCGTTTGTTCCAGGTGTTGCATTATCCATTTGGAGGCTTCCAGTATTGCATTGCATCCCAGCCAGAGCAGCTGGCTCCTGTGTGTCAGTTGGTTACTTCTGCTGGTGTTAAAACTTCCCAGCTGTTTCTTTATAGGGAGAGGGAGATGCAAGCAACCTGATCTGAGCTGCTGATTCTGTTTCCTTCTCTAGCAACAGCGCAGCATGCAGCAGTGCAGTGAGGAAGCCTGCCATCTCCCTGGCTGATAGCACAGACTTGAGGTAAGAAGCCTTGTGAATAACCTTCTTAAGCTAATAAGGGATTGAACACTGGACATCAGGAGCTAAGCAAAAGGCCTGTGGGATTGAGGAAGGGCCTTGGGCCAGGTGCATTGTGGGATTTATTGCCTGCCTTTGGGAGGCTTGAATACTATTCCTAGTTCTAATGTTGGCCCTCACTGCCTTGGTTACACTTTCTGCAATGTGGGAACTGTTACAGACATGATAGGCAGCCTTGACATCTGAGGAATTGAGTACAGGCAACTCCTAGCCGCAAAATACTGGAGCTGATGAATCCAGTAGAGTTTTCCCATGCTGGATCAGACTGTTCCCTGTGAATTACTACAAATGGGTCAAAAGTGTGCTGTGGAGTTCAGGCCTGGCAGTTGTTTTTAGCCTGTTCAGCTTGGTGATCCCTCATTTGAAATAAATACAAATAAAACTTACGATGAGTAAACTGGTCTCCACCAGTGCAAACCCTCTCTAATGTGCATGAACATTATCAAAGGTCAGTGGAGAATACTTGATCCTGAAGAATAAGCAGATGTGGAAAATGGGGGACTGAGATTTATATCCACTTTATATGGTGATCATACGTTTAATGCCTTATAACTGCTCCCTCCTCATTTATTTGTCTGACCTCCTTAAAGGTGACAACCCACTGGACCCACATACTGCAGCTAGAGGGTTTCTTGTACCCAACTCACCTGTGGGAGCCCTCCTCTCTTTGTTCGTAGCCCCCTCCTTTTGTGGGAAGGAATTGAAGTGGACTGTAGTGCCTGCATCTCTGGGTAGCTGCTGTCATAGCTTTGCCAGCAGACCTGTGGTGTCAACAGAGAGCTTTTTCTGCCAGTTTGGATTCACCATTTCCTTGAATGACAGACCTTTTGCAGACAGAAGTTCTTTTGTGTTGGCTCAGCTGTATCCAGGCTGGTGGACATAGCTGTGTTGGCAAGGAGATGAGATGCTGCTGACCATACTGTAATGTAGACTAAGCCCCTGTCTGTTTAATTGAAGCCAACAGGTTCCAGGCAGCTGCTTTTTACTCTGTTCTCATCTTGTTCATTCTGTGGTGGGGTCTGATCCTCTGCTGTTTGTAGGGTGCTACTGAATATCATGTACCTGATCGTGGAGACTGTCCGGCAGGAGTGCGAGGGAGACAAGGTGGAGTGGAAAACGATGAGGCAGACCTTCCGTGCAGAGCTAGGTAGGTCCCTCTGCTGGAGTGTCACATGCCTGTGTGTAGATGGGTGAGGTGAGTTGGGACATGATGAGATAGGCAGGGGATGCACAGAAACTCGCTTATGTTTTGGCTCTCAGCCAGGTTGGTGGTGCTGTGCTGTGGGAGAAATAAGGTACCGGTCTGATTCCCAGTTGATAGCCTATGGGGAGTACTGCGGCATCTGTCTCTGAAACAGGCAAGATCTGAATGGGATGAAAGACCCTTATTCTTAGTGGCAGCTGAGCTGGTTTGTAGTAGAGCTGGTTGAGCTAAGGAAGCCAGCACTCCCATCACCTCTGCCTTACCTCACACATAGCAGAGCAGGAGTTTGGTCTCTGGAGTGGTCATTCCCCCAGTGCCAGAGTGAGAGAGTAGATTCTGACTTCTGAAAGGGATAGAGCAGTTGGCTGGAGTGAGTAGAAAAGGGGTATGGAAGTGTAAGTTGTTGGGACCCAGGGAAAGGGGCTGTTAGGGGAGTCTGTTTTGAGGAGGGCAGGGGTTTCTTCAGGGAAGCCCAGCTAGCACTGGTGTGTTTGCTTACAGGTGCCCCGCTGTATAACAATGAGCCATTTTCCGTCATGCTTTTTGGCATGGTGACCAAATTCTGCAGTGGTCACGCCCCTCACTTCCCTATGAAGAAGGTCTTGCTGCTGCTCTGGAAGACTGTACTGGTAAGAGCCACTATTTCCTGGGCAAGAAAGCTTAAACAGGTGCTTTCTAAAGACTCTCTCCCTAGGACCTAATCTGGGGTGAACTTGGCTGGAAGCAAGTGATACAGGGCTGTGACTGTCTTACCCTGAAGTGAGCACAGTGCTGCTGCCCTGAGATGTGCCTGAGCATCATAGACTTATGGACAGTAGGACTGGACCGCTCCTGGGACCAGCAGTATCTCCATCCCAGAGCAGTAACATCCCTATAAGGCCTTCTCGATAGCTCAAATCCTAATGTTTTGCCCAAACTGCATCTTGGGTAGCTACTCCGTGTCCACACTCCATTGTCCGTTTCGGTGCCCTGCAGTATTTTTCTTTTCCTGTCTTGAGTTGCATTGCTGAGTGCCACGAAACAAATCTGCTTATTTCAGTATGGATCCCTGTTTATTGACTTGTAGGACAAAGCCAGAATAGCATCTGTAGTGTGAAGTGCCTCTGGTTCATTTGAGGTTCAGGGAGTTATAGAAACCCAGCAGCTTCTTACCTAAATGTGAATGAACTTCATGGCCACAGCAGTGTGGTAAGGGCTAGGATATGGGAACAGGATTGAGTTGCTTCCCTTTCATGCTGGGTTAACAATTCAGTGCTTCCTACTTAGGACAGAGGAAAACATGAGGTTGGTTTGTATCGCTGTAGTGTTTAGCACAGGCATGTCTCCACTGTTCTAGGCACTGAAGAAACAACAAGGAAGTGACCCCTGCCCTGAACAGCTTGCAGTCTGAGTAGCTATGAGGACTGCTGCAATTTCTTGCTGGGACCAGGGTTCAGCCTCCTCGGATTTTTGTGTGTGCAGCCCATGCCCCCGGAGCTCTTTCTAGTGTGGGCTTCCTTCCCCATCACAGCTTCAACGTGTTTGCTTCTTAGCACTTCCCAGAATAACTGCACCTCCTGCTCTCATGCAGCACAGTTCTGCTCAGTCCAAGGTGCTGAGTTGATGTGGGCAGCGCTCCCAACTTGCCTCAGTGCCTGGTGCTAGAAGCAAGGGCTCATCTTTCTGGGTGGGGTTCCAGGTGGTGTTATTTGCACTGAGGGCCTTAGGAGCTGGGCTGGTCTCTGGCTCATGCGGTGCTTCAGAAGCTGTTATAAGGCAAGCAGCAGTACTGCTAGAAGATGCCCTGCTTACTGCCTGGTAACCTGGTGCAGGGCATTATGGCATAATTTCTACATAGACACCTTGGATCAGGCCTGGCCACTGGATTAGGTAGACTTCTGTGTCTGGCCTGGTCTGGCACTTCTTATGATCGTGAGTTGTTAGAGCCCAAGTGTGGGGCAGCTGGACTTACTCAGGTGCAAATCTCTGAACTAGCTGCTAAGAGCTACATGTTTAGTGGCCAAACCAACCTGGTTCTCCACAGCTGTCTTCAGACAGAGAGCTGCATTGTTTGATGTGCTAAGATACAGCCCAAACAAGATATCACCAGTACCACATTTAAGATGTTACTGGCCCAGCTTGGTGCCTCTGGGATTGGTTTATATGGACTTTCTCCTGGTGGCACTGGAAGGGCTTGAGGCTTGGAGTTAGTGGAGGCGTTTGAGGCATAAGCCCTGTGTGCCGTGGCATGCGGGAGTCTAAGTGGAGCTTTTGGGGGTTCCTGTTGCAGTGCACTCTAGGAGGCTTCGAGGAGCTACAAAGCATGAAGGCAGAGAAACGGGAGATGCTGGGCCTCCCGCCACTTCCAGAGGACAGCATCAAAGTGATCCGCAACATGAGGGCTGCATCCCCACCAGCATCAGCCTCTGACCTCATTGAACAGCAGCAGAAGCGAGGGCGGAGGGAGCATAAGGTGAGGACAAGCATGGGATAGACTGAGGGCCTTGCTTCACCTGTAACGGGACAGTGGTTCATGGGGCAGACCAGTTTTCCCATAGGCATGAGTCCTGCAAGCAGTGAGAGAAGAGGGGCAGGGGACAGATGAGCCTGGGTAGGCCCTGCACAAATATTCTTTTCCCCTTAGCATCCACACTCTAAATCTGAGATACAGGGTATTAGTCTAGATAAACCTATGGTCTAACCCAGTATGATGCTGCTTTTGTTCATGTGGGATACTGGTGTCATCTCAGGGTGACTTGTTTCCCTAAGTGAGATTCCCCATATCTCTGTCGACATGGCATTCACCTCGCCCCACACTTGGCTGACTTCTTGCTTGGTTCCAGGCCCTGATTAAGCAGGACAACCTAGATGCCTTCAATGAGCGGGACCCTTATAAAGCTGATGACTCCCGTGAGGAAGAAGAGGAAAATGATGATGATAACAGCCTTGAGGGCGAGACCTTCCCCCTTGAACGAGACGAAGTTATGCCTCCACCCATCCAGCACCCTCCGACTGACCGTATCACTTGCCCAAAGGGGCTGCCCTGGGCCCCCAAGGTCAGGTCAGTCCTCAGCACCATAAAGAACTTCTTGGGGTCAGAACAAGCTTACATTGCCTTTCTGGGGTGCTGGAGTGTTCAACTTCTCCCCCTGACCCTGTCCCAGGCACATAGGGTTGATGGTTAAGGTGAGAGATGAATTGTAGCTCCTTGGTTGTAGACAGTCATTGTATTATGTAATGACAACAGCCAGGTTCCTCTGGCAACTGTCCGGTGATGGCATTGTCAAGACCAACCATCCCACTAGCAGGGACATCAGCAGTGGAGGTGTTGGCAACATGTCATTGATGTGGTGGTTTATGTTGTGATTTTTTTTGAAGAACATATCTTGGGTGTATCCCTGGGGACAAGATCTCTACAGCTTATCCTGGGAATGATCTGCCTGGAGTGAGGTTTTGGGGCTTTATGGTAGCATCTTGCTTAGTTCAGGAAATTCTGCTGCTCAAGATCGCTTTTCCTATCTACGAGTGCTGGGGAGTATGGGAAATACTTAGATGCGAGGCATGATCAGATGGGATATGTTTTTTCCCCCCTGTCCAACAGAGAGAAGGACATTGAGATGTTTCTGGAATCCAGTCGCAGCAAATTCATTGGTTACACCCTGGGGAGGTGAGTGAAAGCCAAGCCAGTTTACTGGCAGCATTCAATTAGAGGGGAGGGAATGTTAGGCAGAGCCAGAGGGTGGGTCTGCTGTCTTGGAGAAGCTGCTCCCCTTTCCTTCTGAGCAGGAAGGGGGCTTGTCAGACTCGGCATGCAGTCTACCTCTCTCTCTTCAGTGACACAAACACCGTTGTAGGATTGCCTAGGCCCATCCATGAGAGCATTCGGACCCTGAAACAGGTGAGTGCCCCTCTTCAAGCTCCCGTCCTAGCTCTGTGTGTTGTCCAGGGGCCTCTGTCCCTGTAGTGGGTGGCCCCTCCTAGTGCAGTCATGGTTTGGGGCCAGCTGTCTTTGAGCTGCAGCCCTGCTGGCTGACAGTTCTGGAGCCTTCACCTCTCTTATTTTTGCACATCTGCCCTTTTAACTTCCTCCAGATTCCCTTGTCTGCCCTTCAGCTGGTCAGACTAGTTTGGGTAGCCCTTCCCCAGGTGTGGTGACTAGCCACTGCTGATTCAGCCTTAGTGGAGGAAGTATTCAAAGCAGCTGACATCTGCATTATTTGCTGTCTAGTTAGAGGGGGTTAAATCCAACAAGAGAGCAGAGAGGTGTTGCTCATTGCCATTACCTGTGCTCAGAAAGATGATCAAGGAGAAGGTATCAATAAATGAAATACTACAGGCATCTTCCTAGTGCCCCTCCTGATTTACCTTGTGTGCATGCAGCAGCTGTGGTAACTGTAGCATCGGGCTTCTGTCTCATAGTTTGACCTCCCATGGTCTTTTCTCTGCACAGCACAAGTACACATCGATTGCAGAAGTCCAGGTTCAGATGGAGGAGGAGTATCTTCGCTCCCCACTCTCTGGGGTGAGTGCCTCAGGGAGCACTCCCCTCTTGGAGTTGTGCATTGCAAGGGGTGGAGTGAGACAGAGGGCAGAGGCCTGGCTATGGCGCAGCTCCTGTGGGGGTTTCTTCAGGATGATCTGTCCTCTGGGATCCTCACAAGGTGACCTCCTGCTGAGCCTGCAGTACTGGTTCCTGAGGTCACTGGAGAGATGTGGTCAGGGGTTGTGGGGGCACTTAGGTTTGGTTCTGTAGAGCCAGGGGGTGTCAGGCCTGCCCATGCACCTTTGTGCAAACCGGCCTTCTGCCACATGTCAGTGTCTGGAGGTGGCACCAGGCCTGGGCGTCTCACCCTCTTCCTGTCTTAGGGGGAAGAGGAAGTGGAGCAAGTCCCGGCAGAAATCCTGTACCAGGGGCTCCTCCCCAGCCTGCCCCAGTACATGGTGAGTTGTGTCCCCTCTGCTGATTCTGCCCCTGCTCCCTGAACTTCAGCCCTTCTCTCCTTCCTGGAGGAGCACTGTTGGGCCCTGTCCTCCTTCATTCTTCACACTAAAATGGGTTTGCCTGATCACAGTGCTTTCGCCCTCATCCTGCCACCTCTTGATGTGAGGAAAATCCTCCTCTGGTTTGTTCCTGCCTGCATCCTTTAATACTTCGGACCCATCCCTACCATTGTTTCTCCCTAGGGGTGGCTGTATTTCAGTGGCAAGGAGGAATGATGATGAACCATGTATCCAGTCACATGGCTTCAGGCCTCCCCAGTCCATTGACCTATCCAATGCCAATGTTATCCAGTTGCACATGGCCAAGGGAGAGCGGTTTGGGTCAGTAGAGTCAGTGCCTCCTGATACAGCCTGCCATCCTCACCCAGCTCTTCTCCACAGATTGCTCTGCTCAAGATCCTGCTGGCTGCAGCCCCCACCTCCAAGGCCAAGACAGATTCCATCAACATTCTGGCAGATGTCCTGCCTGAGGAGATGCCGTGAGTGCAGCTTGTGGGTGGGGTGAGGCCTGTGGTGGGTGGAAGCTGTCTGTGTCTCCCAGCCCCTAGCTTGGGGCTTAGCCAGGTTGTTCAGGCTAAAACGGCTGGGATCTGGCTGCTCATTGGATGGGAGACCTCCGGGGAATCTCAGAAGGGTGCAGACAGTGGTGGTTGGCATCCCAGCAGCAAGCACCTTCCCTCTGTTCTGGGAGGTGTCACCTGTCTTATGACATGCACGTTCCCTGTGGTTTCAGCCCAGAGCATCAGGCTAAGGCCAGTCTATTTGTGATTTCAGTCAAACGTGGGGGACTTTTGTTAGTCATGCTCCTGAACTGGGGCATGTTTCTAAGTCTTTTGGAGGCTTTGGGCTGAGATGTAGCTTGTTTATTGATGAAGTAGAATGTGAGGGGAGGAGATGCAGGAAGCAACCTGGAGAGGTCTAGGGGCTATTGCCCTGCTTTATCTTTTCATCTGGGTTATCTGGTGCTGTCTCCTGTGGGTTGCTCCTCACTCTGTGCTAAGATTGTGGCTTTGTCATCCAGAACCACGGTGCTGCAGAGTATGAAGCTGGGGGTGGATGTGAATCGCCACAAAGAGATCATTGTCAAGGCCATCTCTGCTGTCCTGCTGCTGCTCCTCAAGCACTTCAAATTGAATCACATCTACCAAGTGAGCTGGTGTGGGGACCTTCACTGGGCACAGCTTACCTGGGGAGCAGGCAGCACTGGGGGTAAGGGCAGGGGCTGCCTGCTCAGCTGCCTGCCTTGTCTTTGGTCTTAGTTTGAGTACATGGCCCAGCACCTGGTGTTTGCCAACTGCATCCCGCTCATCCTCAAGTTCTTCAATCAGAACATCATGTCCTACATCACTGCCAAGAACAGGTGATGGGGGGCTGGGAGCCTGGCACTTGCACAATTAGGGTCCCACACTGACCCTTTCATATCTATGGGCTGAGATCGCTGCGCACAGAGGGCCACTGTGGGAGAGGGGAAGGGTATCATCTTGTGGAAGGGTACCCTAGTGGGATCCCAGTCTCACTCTGCAGTGGGACACCCAAAACAGGTATAGGCCACCCACTCCCTCTCCCTGACAGCTTGCAGCATGGCCCTCAGGAAGGAAGCCACACTGATCTCACCCCAGACTCCCTTTCCTGTTGCCTGAATCAGCAACAGTGTCCCATCTCTATATGGGCTTGGGCAGTTGGGAGCCGCTTGGGGCAAAAGACTACAGTGACCATCTTCAGGATGCTGCACCATGGGGTTGCGGGTGGCAGGGAGTCCTGCAGATGAATCTCCTGTTCTGTCCTCAACCCTGGGGTATTGATGAGCAGTGGAGACTGATGCCCTCTCTCCTCACAGCATCTCTGTCTTGGATTACCCCTACTGCGTGGTGCATGAACTCCCAGAGCTGACAGCAGAGAGTCTGGTAAGCTAGGACACCCACACCGCTGTCCCTCATAGGCCAGGGCATTGCTGGGGAGGGTGGGGGGTGCACAGGGTTTCCTTGGCCGGGTGTTCTTCTGCAGCACAGAGGGGCTGGACAGAAAGGAACTGTCCAGTAACACATGCAGGGCAGGTGCTCTTCTGCCCCAGAGCAGGTAGCTATAGCTTGGGAGAGTAGGGGCTCTGTGCCTACTGGGACAGCCTCGGCCCTCGTCATGTGGCTTCACAGGGCTTGGGACTATCAGCAGCGGTTGGAAAGGCCCTGTGCATGCTTTCCGAGCAGGGCAGGCCTAGGCACCAAGGACCCAGCTGCTTCCCCTTGCCTCTGTGGGGCAGGTTACACCAGCTTTTCAGGCAGCTCCTCCCAGTAGCAGCACTGCATTACAGCTGGGCTGGGCCACTCACGCCCCCGGCTCTGTTCTCCCCACAGGAAGCAGGTGACAACAATCAGTTTTGCTGGCGGAACCTGTTCTCCTGCATCAACCTCCTGCGGATCCTGAATAAGCTGACAAAATGGAAACACTCCCGCACCATGGTGAGTAAGGAGCCCCTGGCAGCTGGGCTGAGCCAGTGCAAAGTGCTTAGGCCTAGGTGGGCATGTGGAGGGGTTGTGGATCCCTGCCCTGTGTCTTAGAAGCCCAGGCCTGTGGCCTGTAGGGCCTGCCTTTGGACTAGCCTTGTCTTGGTGCCAGGTCCAGGCTGACTTATGGGCATGTTTTGCAGATGCTGGTTGTGTTCAAGTCGGCTCCCATCCTGAAACGTGCCCTGAAGGTGAAACAGGCTATGATGCAGCTCTACGTCCTGAAGCTGCTCAAGGTGCAGACCAAGTACTTGGGGCGGCAGTGGAGGAAAAGTAATATGAAGACCATGTCTGCGATCTACCAGAAAGTGCGGCACCGCCTGAACGACGACTGGGCCTATGGAAACGGTACTGCCTCTCGTGTCCTCTCCCTTGCTGCCCCACAGATCTCTAATCTAGCCCAAAGGGTGCTACTGATTGGGCATGAGTGGAGTAGGGCTTTAACACCAGCTTGGGAGGACTCATTGCTTGCATGTTGAAGATGGGCAGGGGTGGGGGAGCTGCTCCCACCATGATAGAGCCTCACGTTTCAGGTGGAAACCTGGCTGGCTGCATCTCCAGTCCAAAGAGGACCCAGTGCATGTGATATAGCCGGTCCTGACACAACATCGCATCTGCTATCAGGACCTCTGCTCTCCAGCGTAGCTGAGCGACACATTAAGGAGATGGAGTTTCCACAGTGCTAATGGCTTGGTTCAGTGGGACAATATCTCCACTGTTGGCAGAGGCCATGTATTGTCAGGCAAAGCTAGAATTACTCTCCCAGCCTCTGAGTACCCTGTGTTGTTCCCCTTGTGCCCAGCTGGTGATTGCTGATACCCTGAGGGGGCCCAAAGGAGGGTGCTCTTAAGCAGAGTAATGCTGATTAGGATTGACTGCTCCTTGGCAGCTCTCAGTTGGCATGGGTTGAGAAGGTAGGCTCTGTGCTCCCTTCTCACAAATGCCTCATGCTCTGCCCTGCTCCATGCCTAGATCTGGATGCACGCCCCTGGGACTTCCAAGCTGAGGAGTGCGCCCTACGAGCCAGCATCGAGCGCTTCAACTCCCGGCGCTACGACCGGGCGCACAGCAACCCTGACTTCCTGCCTGTGGATAACTGTTTACAAAGTGTGCTGGGCCAGCGCGTGGAGCTGCCTGAGGACTTCCAGATGAACTATGATCTGTGGCTGGAAAGGGAAGTCTTCTCCAGACCCATCTCCTGGGAAGAACTGCTGCAGTGATGCCTTTTTGCCAGGCAGGGCTGCCAGCAGAGACTTGGTGCTGGGATGGACACGTTGAGGGGAAGTATGGTGCTCCAGTACTGCGGAGTCCCCTCATGAACAGGAGGCATCCTCCATGTGGCCGCATGCCTCCATCTGGCACACGTGAGGGTGTAGCCCTGTTGTCATGAGCCTCTGCTGCTCCTGGTGAATCTTGGGCTCCGGGGGTGGCTTCGTCTCCACACAGACTCAGGAGGGGCCTGCGGCTAGGACAGTCCTCTCCCCTGCCGCCTGGCCCTGTCATCTCCAAGACACTAAAGTCTCAGAGTGGGAAGCATGTTCCTTTGCCCCTCTGCTCACCTCAGACAGCCCTGGGAGTTGGATGTGGGGGCTGTTCTAACTCCAGATGATGGCCTTGGCATGGTGCTCTGCTCTCCTCCCGCACACCGGAGGTCATACCCTATTATAGGCTGTGAGCCTGGAACAGCTGTAGCTGCCTGGCCTATGCCTCTCACTCAAAGCACTTGAGGCTCCTGCTTTAGAACCAGGTTCAATCCTCCCTGATGGTGACTCACCCAAAGCAGAGCATTACATTAGCTGCCTGCCTTGTTAGACTGTCCATTCCTAACTGCGCCTTCCCCTGGCAGAGAAAACAGCAGCCTCTGCCTACCCCTGTAATAGGTGGGAGATCAGTAGGGGAGGGGACAAGAAGGTGCTGCTACATGGGAGGGGAGGTGGGGGGAGGCCTGGGGACCAGCTAGCCACCAAGTGCATGCCGGAGGTGGGTGCCATGGTGCTCTTGTCGTTGGGTTGGGGCTAACGTCAGCCTGACCTATGCCAGGACCCGGTATAACAGGCAGGATATGTAGCAGCAAGGCCACTGCAGGCAGAAGCAGCTGGGAGCTCTGGTACTGGGCTGCAGTCCCACCTCTCCCCTCTGGATGGTGCGGATGAGTTGTACATGCATATAAATACAGTAACCATTCCTCTTGTGTGATCCGCCAGGTTTTTAATGCCTCTATGACTCTTTCCATTAAATAACCTTGTGCTTGGACTCAGACACAGCTTGGCATGGGAAATCGTCCTTCCTGCCCCCCCCCTCCCAACCCTTGTGGCTACTCCTACCTCCTTGCTCCCAGCAGAGGCAGCCTAAAGTGTGGGTCTCGGTGGGCATCTGACCACCCATCCCTGTCTCGGGCACCAGCACACACTTCTAGACGCGAAGGGGGTTTCTCCTGGGCCGTGCACTGATAGGGGCAGCTTTCCAGCATAATGGCATCCCACAGGGCTGCACTCCTCTCCCCAGGCCCTAGTATTGAGTTGTGAACTCAAGTCACACAGAAGGAAAGGCTCTTGACCTCCCTGGCTGTGGTGAGAACTGTGTTGTGGCTGAGAATCTTGGAGGCAGCCAGTCCTAGATAAAGCAGCTTCCTCTTCCTGGTGCCATCAGCATATAGTAACCATATACCTCTGCCATTGTGGCTGGGTGTTGGCATGTGGTGGGGAGAGGGGGACTTGGTTGGGGCAGTGGCGTGGGAGGAGCTGGGTGCTGGATAATGGTTGCTCAGAAATGCTGGGGCTGATCTCAGTGGCCCAAGAAGCCCCTTTCAGGCCAGGAGGTGAGTTAAGATTGGAGCGGCAGAAGCAGAACTTGCCCGGGAGGTGGGCAGGACTGTGGTGCAGGCAGGGGCAAGGGTATGTGCACGGATTGGCACAAACAGGAGAAGAAGGGAGGCCAGTGAGACCCTGGGAAGCTGCTTGTGTGTAGAACCTCTGAGCCCAGCAAGAGGCATCCCAATGCAGGACATTAAACCAGCACAGGTGATGCTCTGGGGCCCATGAGATGACAGGAGGAGGCCCAGCCTGCGTCCCCGTGCTTTCCTGGTGCTGCGCCGTGCTGGTGATGCAAGTTCAGTGCTATCTTGGCAGCCAAGTTTGTTGCATGCAGCTCGGATCCTACCCAATTGCAGTCTGCGTCCTCGTCTGTGCCCAGCTCTGCGGCTGGCAGCCGGGGCCTGCCATGCCTGCCAAGCCTCTGCCCTGGCTCCTAGCCCACCTCTCTGTTGCAGCTGAGTCCTTTCCCCTGTCTTGCCTGAGGGACCCTGGAGCTGGGGCAGCTGCAGTATCAGTTAGCTGCTGGTGCTTTGAAGTCAGGGTCACAGGGTACTGGGCATAATGTCATGGCAGCTTTGTTGGCCCCACTTTCTGCCCTGCCATAATGCATCTCCTGACAAGCTCCGGTGGCTGTGGGGAGTGAGCTGGGGCCCTGCGTCTAGCACCCCAGCGAGGTGTGGGCCAGCCCTAGCTTCCCAAGCGCTTGCTGCTGGCAGCCACATTCCAAGCAGGCGCATCCTGGCACGGCTTCCCCAGCCCGGCTTGCCCTGCCAGCTAGCGCGCCGAAACGCTGCCGCGCCTTCTGCCCCAGGCGTCTTGGACAGGAGAGGGGAGCTCTGTGGAAATTTTAACGGCAGGGGCCTCCGGGGTAAAGCAGAAGGGTGGAGTCGAGGCACTGCATGAGAGAGGAAACCGCTGTCTGGTATCTCTTGCCACCTTGGCAGGGAGTTTGCTGCATAACTTGGCTTGTCCTGGGCTTGGCTGCCTCATCTGCTTTGTGTAGTGTGGCAGTTCCTCCCAGGCTCAGAGCCCCTGTGCTAGGTGCTGTACATGTCTGCAGAGAAAGATGACCCCTTCCCCAGCTGGCTGAGGGACCAAAAGACCAAGCCAAAGGAGAGATTACAGTAAACCCTGCTTTCCCCACGGCCCGGAAAGCAAAGGACTCATTCACGGTCCCTGGGAGACTGGCAGATGGCTCCTGAGCACCGTCTCCTTTAGCTCCTAAGCCTGTCCTTGTCTGGACCCAGCTTGTGACCTGCTGCAATAGCCCTCTGCTAGGGAAGCTCCCTTTGCTGGGGTTTATGCTCTACCCTACTAGTAATCTTATACCTGTGGTAAGCCTAGCCCATCCATGGAGCCATCAAACCAAGACTAGACTTGTTTGTACCCACAGCATCACCGGGAAGTGCCTGCATGTCCTCCTTTTTGTAGAGGAGGAGGAAATGGGGGCGGTGAGGGAAGGGACCAGTCCATTATTTGGCTTCTGGGGTTTTATCACCCTCCTCTGAAGCATTGCTTGGTGGCCACAGCCAGCAGTAGGGCCATGGCTGGGGTGAGCTGGTGCCTCCTGCCATTACACAGGGACCTCTGGAGGACCTGGATGCAGGGTCTTGCTCGTGCAGGCCTGACATCAGCCTTTCTTACTGATGTTCTCCATCATAGTCGCTTGCCTTGGAAGATGGGCCCTGCGTCTCCCTTCATTCTGAACAGCTGTCAGCTGTAGCCACGAGGTGGCACCAGCCCAGCCGGAGCTGGAGGCTGAAGTAGGTCCTGCAGCTCCCCGTGCCCTTATGCGCAGCCCTGCTCTCATCCACCTGCTCTGCTCAAGCTCTTAGCTCCAGCCTTCTCCTGGGCCTCTGCCCCCATCCACGGTCACCTCTGCTCTCACGGGTGCAGCACTGCTTGGGGCCTGCAGTGCTGGGTTGGCTCAGAAGGGACAGGTTTACTTTGTCCCAGCAGCAGGTGATGGAGCCTGTGACTTTCAAACTTGTGCTGTGTTGCAAGCAAAGGCAGGCTGGGATCTCCCAATTTGCCTGCCCTGGACTGGTACGGGGAAGACGGGCTCTGAGTTGCAGCAGCTATCTCTATTCATCCGTGACTCTGTGGGCTAGGAGCTCCCTAAGCCCTGAGTCCTGGACCTGCTGTGGTCGGGCTTCAGCGCTATATCTGCTTTTCACAGAATCCTAGAAAATGAGGGTTGGAAGGGTTCTCAGGAGGTCATCTAATCCAACCCTCTGCTCAAAGCAGGGCCATCGCCACCTAGATCATCTCAGCCAAAGCTTCGTCTAGCCGGGTCTTCAAAACCTCCAAGGATGGAGAGTCCACAACCTCTCTGTGTAGCCTGTTCCAGTGGTTCACCATCCTCCTCGATATTTTCCTAACCTAAACTTCCTTTGCTGCAACTTGAAACCATGGATCCTGTGGCACTCAGCAACTGAGGACGAAGGGGGTGGTGCTGGCAAAGTCAAGGGTCATGCCATGAGCATGAAGCAGGTGCTCCCAGCTGTAGGCTTTCCCCAGCACAGCTGTCAGTCATGATCCATAGCCACTGTTAGCCTAGTGTTGCTCCCCCATCTCTCCCGAGTGGCATCACTCTCCCCCCTTCTGCTTTGCCAGTAGACGCCCTGCCAGGGCACCGCACTCCTGGCTGCCAGCGTGGTGGGGTGAAGGGAACACAGGCCTATTTCTGGATCTGTGAATTGATGGTGCTGATGATGCCCTGCTGTACAAAGCACCCTGCGAGTCAGGGGTGCAAGATGCCAGATGGGAGCTGGGAGTCACTCCAGCCTTGGCTTCAACTGGGATTACTGTAAGTTTGGGCTGGTTTGGGCACGTGCCTGGTGGGGACTCTTGAGACACCAGTACTTGTGGTCACTCTGGGGCACTACGTAGGGCTGTTTGCAGATCTGCTCAGTAGCTGGTGGCATGGCATGGGCTTCCCTCTTGCTGAGCAGGGTTCCCCAGAGCTCTGGGACCACATATGGCCACGGCCCTGCCCCTGGGAGATGGTGCCGCAGGGATCTCTGCGTCAGCCCAGCATGGTTTTGAGAGCGCTCACGTGTTGGGACACTGGTGTCGTGGCTGCCAGAGGATGCAGCTCTGTGCTGCGATGGCCTGGCAGTGCGGAGGGAGCGTCCAGCGAGGCTGAGCCACGTGGACGATGCTCCAGAGCTGGCTTTCCAGCTCTGCGGTCTCTCCGGCTCCCCTCCAGGCAGGGAAGGGAGTGAAGGGGATTGGTTGGACAAGGAGCCAGGGAGAGGCTGGCTGGGGGGGTGACATTTTGGGGCTGCTGGAAAGGAATGACCTGCTCCTGCCAAGACAGCACCCACAGACTCTTGTGCTTCCTGCTCCCAGCCTGTCTGATTGGACACATGTGGTGTGGAGAGGTGGAAGCCCAGGGTTTGCCTGACGAGCCCCACTTGCTCCCACCCTGGCTGTGCTCCAACCCCTGGGGCAGGGAGGCCACTGCTGCTGCCTGCAGCCCCCTCCCAGATGTGCTGCCCCCTATGCAGCACATGTCCTTTCTGCAAGTAGAAGGTGTCCCCATGCCAGTGCTGCCCCATAGCACTCCTACCTTTGCTCTGGTCCTCTCAGGCCAAGCCCTGTTAGGGGGAATCAGACCTTTTCCCAGTCCCTTTGTTGCTCCTTGGCTCTCACCAGTGCCACTGGGAACTGCATGTCCCCTCCGGATCAGCCTTGTGATGCTGTCTGCTGCATGGTGGAGCTCCTGGCATCTGCCACCTCTTGCCTCATGACAGCAGGGTGTTGCCTTATGGTGATGATGTTTTTGGGATGCGGCCTGTAAGGGATAAGCTGGGTCAGCTGATAAGGGCTGAGCAAGGAGAAAAAAGGCCCCTCCCACCATTAGCAAACAGCTGGGGGGTCTTAGGAAACAGGCCAGGACCAGACAAGCCCGGGAACCAAGCACTGCAAGGACTAATGTAGTTGAAGTGACTGCAGGGTGAACAGGGCTCTGCTGTCAGCAATGATGGAGCCGAGGCTGCACACCATCACGGACCCCTGTGGATGCCCTGGTGCCTTTGTTTGCAGGTAAGGCATATGCTAGCACAGGCTGTGGAGGGAGGCTGGGGAGCTGTGCTGGCTCTAAGCGTCTATATGGTAATTCAGCATGATGGCTCAATGGCCAAGGGCTGGGGATCTAACAAGAAGCAGTCGGCTGCCTAATGACACCAAGCAGAGCAGGCCAGAGCACCCCTGGGATGGGCTGCAGGGATGCTGGGGAGAGCAGGAGCCCGGCGGCCACGACTGAGGTCTTCTGAGCCTCTCTGCTCCCCTGGGGGAAGGCTTCCTCCTGGGCTGGGTGGGCAGGCTTTGGCTCTGGACCACCCAGCCTGGGACCGTTTGGATCCAGGTACCATGTGTCAAAGCCCTGCGGTCAGGGGAGTGGTGCCAACCACCTCTAGTCACCAGCTCTGTCGCTGAGGG